AAAAAAAAAGAGCTAAAAGAAAGGTCAGCAGTTCAAATCCACCAGCTGCCCGAGGGAAAATGCTGGGCAGTCTTCTATAAAGGTTCATGGTCTCGGAAACCACTGGAAGGTCCCCATGAGTTAGGATCTTTTTGTTGGTAATGCATGTGGTTCTGTTTCTTTGCGTGTATATACATGGACTCTGGGGGTAGATATGGGGGAGCTCTGGAGAGGGCTCTGGCCGGAGCCGTGGGGGGAGCTAGGTGGAGGCTCTGGCAGGGGCTCTGGGAAGAGTCCTGGGGAGGCTCTGGGGGGCTCTGAGGGGGATTAGGTGGGCTCTGGGGGGACTCTTGGGGAAGTTCGGGGGGCCCTGCTGGGAACTTTTAGGGAGAGCTCTGGAGGGAATTCTGGGGGAGCTTTGGGGGGAGCTCTTGGAAGGAGCTCTGGGAGGGTCCTGGGTGGAGCTCTGGTGGGCTATTCCAGAGGAAGTTGCACTGCTAACCCAAAGGCCTCATGTACTTGGTGGCTAAAATCCACCAGTGACTTCATAGTAGACGGATGAGCAATTTGTAGTCTTAGAAACCCGGCAGAAGCGTGCGGCGCAGGAAGCTGAAGAGGGCTCCCCAGCCGGTTGGGCTACTCAGCCATTCAAGTCAAGTTCTTGGAGAAGCAGTAGGCTTCTCATTACCTCTACGTGAGAAAGCACAGAATTCGAGAAGGCACTCAGTCCACCTGGCCTCAGAAGCAGACTCTTTTTTTGTCTTCAACGTGCCGCCATACAGGTCAAAGGTATGTGGTTCAAATCCACAGAAGAAGAGTCATCTCCTCCCATGCCTGTGAAAATTCGCTGGAGGGTCAGCTATGAGTTGGTTCTGACAATATGTTTGGATTTCTGGAAGGAAACCAGTAGTTACTGCTGCATGTTAGGATTTTGTGTGGGTTTTCTTTTTATCTTTATAAGTAATAGCCCAAGTTTATGACAATGAGTCTGTAGTTTTTTGGGTTTTTTTTCTTGTTGTGTGTACCATCGAATCAGATCTGACTGGCACAGGAGGAAGCTGACCCTCCTTCTCCAGAGGAGCATCTGGTGGATTCAAACCGAGCACCTTTGGTGTTGCGGTGCAGTTTCTTGCCACTTTGTTGTTGTTGTTATGTGCCTTCGAGTCGCCTGCAACTCATAGCGACCCTATGTACAACAGCCCTAAACTCC